GATCTATAGAGATCATCGAATGTTTGGTTTCGTTTATTCAGTTTTTTAAACGTTTCACGTCATATGAACAGCTCGGGTAATTTTATTACGTGCCGCAATCTATTTGTGATCACGGAAGCCTGGTATAGTTTCGAATAATGTATAAGCTACCACTATTTCAATATTTCTTCGAATGTTTTTAAGCTGCTTAATATCAAATATGTAATGAAAATACTTCTGTTTGTTATACCTGTGACTTTGCGTTAATAATGACAAGCAAATTCGTGGAATTGATATCCCCCGCTTGCAGGACATATTGTAGATAAATATTATTGAGGTAAGGTTTAGACATGTGAGTATCGTGCTATTGAGACATAATGTATAGCTTGAAACTAGAAGAAAAAATACCTCCTTTAGAAGTTCGACTTTTTATCGAACATGTAGGTATTACGGTGTAAATGTATCGTTTAATCTATCAGAATTTACTAAACTCATTAATTATCTGTAGATATGCATAATTCACATCGATTGGCAAACTTAGCAAGAGTCGGATGTGCATACGGAATTTGGTTGAAATGTTTACAGCAATTATCACTCGAAAACCAAGGAGTGTCCACGATGGATGGGACGACAGAGGAACAAACACATTGTTATCAAGTTTGAAGGATTTTGGCTAATATTTGCCAGTGTTTTTAAGCGGAAATTGCAGTTAATGACGTTTTTCGTTAATCAAACCATAACTCCGCTAAATTGAGTCCGATTAAAGTGGTTGTCAAATTTGGTCGAGCCCTAAAGACATTCACACCTGGTAGCTAGTGTGAAGAAATTCGATTATCATTTGTTGCAGGTTTTGCACGGAAACGGCAGCTAATGACGTTTTACGTTATTCAAGGGACCATAACTCCGCTAAATAAAGTCCGCTGAAAGTGGTCATCGAACTTGGCCGAGCCCTTAAGGCATTTAACCCTGTTACTAAGTATGAAGGAAATCAGTTTGCATTTGTTGCAGTTATTGCATTGAAAATGAAGCGTGACAGACAGACAGACGGACGGACAAACCCAAATTAATATCCCCTGTATCTGTGAAAGCGGGGGATACACAAATACATAACAATAATTTACGTTGCATTGCCGAATATTTCTAACTTTTTTGGCAAAATATTTCAGTTTTGTTTTCAGGCCTTTGATTTACTATGAATATATCAAATATACATTTAGGCTAATTCTGGCTGTAACGAAGTTCATGAGATGATGAATGGAGTTGGTTGTCCGTGAACAAACTCAACTACTGATGACAGATAATCAGCATTGATATATCTATTATTGTTATACAATTATGTATTCTTAAATCTTCAGGGTTAATACGAGCTTTCAATCAACATGCTATTGAAAGGTTAAATAAAGAGGAAGGAAGTGATATCGACCTTACCAAGTTCACGTATGAGCTAGATTTCATATCTGACAACGATCCCCAGTACACGAGTTACACCAGGGTCTACATAGAGGCCAAGGAGGCCATCCGGTACCCGATACGTAAGTTGTAATTGTTGTGAGTGGGAACGTAACAGAGGCTTAGCGCGTGTTAATACGTATCGTAACGGCGGTTCTTATGTGTATACTTTCTGAGAATAACAGGATCCATGGTAGGGCAAACTTACGTGCCAGTGACAAAAGGACATAGGAAAATGTTGTCAAGGGACTGTTACGGAGATCTATAAAAGAGCCAACATAACCACATCTCGACCTCAAAAACGATAAAACTAGGGCAAATTGAAACAAAGTAAGAATTTACAAAGAAACCTTTGAATAAGTACAAGGGAAAAAAAACAGTTGTTCCGAAAGGGTAAGCGGCTTCTGCTTCATCGAAGACGCCCGCCATGTCAATCTAAATCGAATCCAAGTAATGTCACGTCCTTGCACACAAACGCGGGAAGTGACGACAAAACCACAAGGCACTCTGACTATCATATTCAAAAATATCGATTTTCATATCACACAACGAAATAGCATATTTCCTGCGAGGTTCCTTGAGGCGACTATAAACTTTTCCATAGTCTTCATGTACGGCAGAACCAGTACACTGACGAGTTTTACTATTTAAATATCTTATATAAAGGGTTTAAGTTTATAAGCATTGTAAAGACGTGTCGTTGAACTTCATGTAATAACAAAATAATATTCTTATTTTACAGCTGGACTTGACATTCACCTGCAGATGGATAAGGGAGAGCGACTTTACTTTCACAAAGGCGATGGATACAGCTGTAAATACACAATGGAACAGCTACGAAACATTGTCGAGAAAGCTGGACTCCACCTGCCGGGTGCTTGGATAGATGAAAAGCAGCACGTCGTTTTTTGTCAGTGTGTGAAGGTATAAAGGACTGACAAAAGCATAAGGATGTCTGATGCTTACTACATTTGCGGGATCGCAACGGTACACGATGTTCAGTGTGCGCACGGTGTGTGCACGATGTGCGAACGATGGAAATCTGGACGATTTTTACTTGTGCACATTTGTGCGGACGATGGAGGAATGTTGTGCGATGGCAACCGTGGTTGATGTAGATTAAGAAATGGTTTAACAATATATACGGTTTCTTGTTTGAATATATTAACTTGATTTTATTAAGTATGATACGCTATTCTGGCTACATATATAAGCTGATCTTTCTATCTATTTTTCGTAAATGTAACAATGGTGTTTTGTGATTTTTAAACGACTCAAATCGACACATGTAAGATCAGACACATCTATACACGGTCTCATAAACAGGTAAACATAACCACTTTGTACTTGTACAAGGACCGTAGTTGGTCCCCCCGGGGTACTTGCGTAACTCGCCAACAAGTGAAAAACCAAATAAAAGAGATCAAACGAATGCAAATAACAAATACTTAACGTCCAGTTTTGTTTTTCATAATTGTCATATGGTATCACATATCAGCTTTCTTTGTCAGGAACAGGCCAGGTAAAACTCCGGTCACTCATCAGATAGTTATTTACCTGTTCTGTTACCTGAGAGCAAACCCCATTCGTGACAGTCCAACGGTCACTGTAATACTGTGTAACACGCATTGTAAAATTGAACATAATCCTTATTGATATGATGAGAAACATATAAGCAGTGTTCCTTTTTCCGTTCGAGGTTTAAGCAATTTTTCGTAATATTGATCAATCGTTTGTATGAAATCGCACAGTTGTGCGCACCGTGTGGACAGTGTGTGCACGATTTCTGCACGATGTGTGGACGCTATTCTTAGTGCGTTGTTCCGTCACACAACTGTTGTTGGGCTATCATTTATACTAGTAATTATTTAGCAGAGATATATTATACAGCGGCAAGTATTCATATGATAAAGATTATATATCTTATATAGCGTTAATTTATTATACCGCGGATTAATTCCTACAGGATCTGAAAATGTTGGTTCATAACCAGGATCCATCATGGACTACTTGTACCAAAATGGGGAAGCAAAAAGATCTGTGTTTCTGTAAAATAGCAAACAATGGCGGCTACGTTTTGGAACATTCGACTGTGTCACTGCAAGAATAGTGTGTCAATGCCTGTATTCATCGGCCATATTAAATTGGGGGGAATATTTTTCACTCTGTTTCCGAAGTATAATAATATATCGATGTGATTCACTGGTTCAGTATTAGTTAAGGTATTTGTTATAACCTGCTTAAGGCTCAGCATTAATGGTAATGGCAACAGCTGGTTCACCCGTCATCAGTATAACGACCAAGCTGAATGCTGTGTTGGGTGCGATTGGAATGGTATTTCAGTGAGAAAGCACTGTAAGGTCGACATCAGACCCGTGCTTTCACAATAACGCAGTTACATCAACATACCCTGTCTCAAACACACATACACACACACACACATACACAATACACATGGAGGCACGTCCTTAAATGACCTTAGTTGTCGACGTTTAACAAAATAAAACAAAACATGTACTGGCCGTAGGTCAGTAGTTTTTTCTGTGGGAACTCCGGCCTCACTCCACCACCAACACCTTACACGTCCTTAAATGATCATAGCTGTTAATAGGACGCAAAACACAAACAAACCAAACCGACAGTTTCTCGTTCGTTAAGTAATAAAACAGTTTGTGGGATGTAAATATCATAATGAAACTTAGATTTGACATCGTATACTGTATCATGAACGTAGTTGACAACAAATATTTTTGTTGTTTTATGGAACATTGATCCTTAAATAGCGTATTCAGCTGACAAACTGTATATTACCGTGATATATTACGGAATATTTACATTTGTACTTCAGATGAAATAAATAAACCTATCAATCTCTATTCAGAGTTGTCGTTCCTTACACTTACCAACACCTCTGTCAGCATTATAATTAGTCTCTGATCATGTATATATATCTTCTGTCTCATTTGACACTGGATGTGCGTGGATGATGAACGCCACACAAACATCTTCATAAATTCAGTTTTAGTTTTATTTTGTATCCGCGCGAGCTTTCCTTGTTAAAGAAGAAGGACGGCGATGTTTTAGAAGCCAGTTCAGCATGATTCTGTTGTATTTTGATTTAAAAATGGTATTTTCTCCGACAACTGCGTATGTAAAACTGGAATATTTATGCTATTTGAATATCTGATGGATTAAAATCAGCCGTACATCAGAACAATCATCTTATAACTTTGTCTTTATGGTTTTTTTTTATTTTCTGTATGATGTTTCCTATTGATTTTGAATCTTAATTTACTTTGTAGTTAACAGTGTTATTTATTATTGGCTTTGAGATAGTATCTGAGTCGATATCAACTTTATTGATATTCATAAAAATTAATATATTATAATGTAAATGAAAGTAATACATGTACAACAGCTGTTTCCATTACATGTCATTGTACTTTGGAACAGAGAATAGAAATGGTTAATATATTATATATATTATACTTAAGTTCTACGTGTTGTGTCTATTTATCGACATATATAAACATGTGATTTGCTCGTCGTGTAGAATTCGAAAAATAACAGTGCTGATTCAATACGTAAGTCTCGAGGTGTTCTAAGTATACTGCTGTCGCATTTGAAAGAAACTAATAGACCCGTCCGGTTTCGAAAACGTAAGTAACCTTGTAATTATATGTATTGATATTTGATCTAAAAGAAAAGAAAAAAACCTGGTCTAATTTTGCATTGCTTCAATATATACAATTGAATGCCTGGGGCTGATAAGGCAATTCGGTTAGAATTTGCCCTCGATTGTTAGATTTAGTATTCCAATGTTTCATATGAGAAAGGCTTATTCGTCTATTCAGTGTAATATGCGTAGGTTAAATACTAACTCTGCAACTGAGGTGGGTTACTTGTAGCTAGCGGAGCTTTTTAGTGACAAATACGTACGTAGTTCTCAGTACAATAACGTAGATGTCAAATCCGATACACTCACGGGTTTGCACTCTATGAAAAAAATGATGTTGTATAATGTAATCGGCCTCCAATTTTTAATAAAATGTCTAACTTTATCTCCTTTGGGAATACAGTTGATAATACCCTGTTTTTGTGTAATGGATAGCTCCCCCTTTTTATAACCAAAATTCAATGCTCTGATTATAACATATTTTAAATTATTAAAAAAAAATCACTAGTAAAACCATCAGAACCGGGTGATTTACAGTTTTTCATATTTTTTAACGGAAAGAGTAATTCTGTTTAAGATAATTCGCCTTCTAAATTTACACGTTAATTGTCTGTTAATTTTACATATTCTAAACCATCTTAAAGACTGTTAAATTAACATCTTCAATATTATCTGAATGGTCAGCATATAATTGTTTTAAAAAGTTTTACAAACAATTATATGAAATATACAATTTCATCTTGACTAGTTATGATTTCCCCATTTTCTTTTTCAACTTTAACAATAGTTTTTTTAACATAATTGTGTGTTTCCAAGTTGCAAAAATCTTTTGATGGTTTTTTCCCCCTTCTTCCAGCCAAGTTACTTTTGAGCTTATCATATGCCCTTTCATTTTTATTTTTCTAATATTCTCTAGCTCGTCTGTTTTCTGTTCGTATTAATCTAAATTAGTAGCCCATTTATTATTTTCTTCTAATATTCCTAGATCAGATATTAGTACTTTTTCCCTTTTGTCCTGTTCTTTTTTTATAAATGATGAATACGATATAGTTGTTCCCCTGATTTCCATTAATAATGTTTCTAAAAAAAGTTGTGCATCTATACATAATATAAGTTCTTCATCAGTTATATTAGAAATATCATTATCGTAAATTGGTGATGAATATTGCTGTTTGATCTTATATATGGTATTTTTAATATTTTGCATATATTTTTGATCATATATAAGACTGTTATTAAATTTCCATAGGCCCCTCCCTTTCACAAAGTTATTTTATTTAGTTTCTAGTGATATTATAGAATGGTCTGATATGTAACCAACAAAAATATTAACCTTCTCAATATAGTTTAAAATATTTTCTGAGGTGAGGAAGAAGTCCAATCTAGCTTGTTTATAGGGTTTTTCTTCCGCCATGTATATCTTTTATATGTAGGATGAACAATTCTAAATGGGTCAACTAAATTTGTTTCCTCAATCAGTTTAAGAAGTCTTGTACGGGGATTTGGGTTGTTTATATTTACATCATTGTTTGTGTCTTTTTCCTGATCTAAAACCAAGTCACCACAAACTATGCAACAAGGATTGCTAAAATTAATAATCTGCTTATATATTTTTTCATAAAAATCTGGATCATCTTTATTGGGACCATATAAATTAATTAATGAAAATCTAACTTTTTCAATGCTTATATCAAGGGCTATTACATTTCATTCTGTGTCTGTCCATTTACTGTGGATCTCAAATTCAAAAATATTATTAAAACATATACAACTCCCCTTGAATTCTTTCTGTAAGAGCTAAAAAAGCATGTATATCCCCATTGTAATGCTATTCCCCTCTCCTGTTCTTTCGTAAAATGTGTGCCTTGAAGACATATAATATTATAATCTTTATAGTACTTATTTAAATAATTAAATATACCATTTCTTTTCTCCTTCCGCCCTAAGTCTCTACAGTTTGCAGATGATATCGTAATGTTATTTGACATTACCATAAACAATATCTACTATTATTGGTTCTCTCAGAAGTTGAGTAGATTTCAGTTGAAAAAATAAGTTTAATAAAAAATGAAATGCAATTAAAAATTGCGTCGTTAAACTGCAGATCTCGGGTACAATACATACACATTCACTTCCATTTCTATCAGCTAGACACATATATATCACATACTCTATACATATTCTTACACTAGACACTGATGATAAACAAACAAATATAATTAACATCAATATGTTAATACTATACATGAACAAAGGCAAGGTAATTGACTGTACATTTCCGCAAGACTATCTATCTCACAACTCATTTGTCACATGCCTGATTTATCTGCCAAATATCTTCATATAGACCATTCGCTACTCATTTAAAAATATTTAAATCCATTGGATATTGGAACGTTATAATTCTTGTTGGAATAAAAAAAACATCTGGTGGCGTTATCTAAGATTCAGATGTGTCTTGGGTTTGATTCAGACGTTAAGTTCTACAGCTCTGTCAATGGTAGCCTTTTATGACATCACCAAACTTTTGACGTTATAGATAGCAAACACGACATACGACATACCATGAGTATGAAGCCCGGAGAAAAACTGTTATAAAATTGAATAATGATGAAATATGTCTTATAAATTAAGATCTATTCGGTTGTTTTTTACATATACAATATTAACACAAAAAAGAGGAAATATGTTGTGTAAAGGGATGTATATTAAGAAACTATTTCGCAGCCAATGTATCACAATTATATACCCTCAACCCTGAGTTTTAAGTTTGTAAGATGTCGTTCTAATTGGTGACTGAAGGTTGAGTTTAGTTGAAATCGTTCCCTTCGTTGAATTTAAACAATTGTCACGCTCTTTGGTTGCTTCAAGGCCAAAAAGATCATTAAACACATTGAACGTGTATCTCTTTATAAGCCTTAGATAGCTACAGTAGTCCTAAGCCAGAAAACACAATATGATTCGTTTACAAATCAACACTTAAGCAATGCGAAGTCTAAATAAACAGGTTGCACAAAAGTTTGGGTATTTAGTAATGACGATCCAGCGTCTGATGTACCGTTTCCCAATTTCTGGTAGACCCTCCCTTATGGCTTACCGTCGTATAGGGTTACGCCATGTGTAAGACAGATTTATTTTTTCACGATCACTGCAAATACAATGTCTTTTGTCGATGTTAAGTGGCTAAAATACGTAATCCTTAAAAAAAGGTCATTTTTTACGGTTATATAGATTTTATCTAACTTGTTTCCTCTTCTTCATTTTGTTATCATTATTTACTTAATGCAAATGATTACAAATTTGGACCCAGGTTTGGTTTGGTTTTATTTTGTTTAAAGTCCTATTAACAGCTAAGGTCATTTAAGGACGTGCCTCCATGTGTGTTGTATGTATGCGTACATTTGTGTATGTGCGCCGGAAACAGAATATGTTGGTGTACATGCCTCCTTGTGATAGCGCGGATCTGATGCCGACTTCAGAGTGCTTTCTCCCGATGTATTTTATATGTTTTTTATTTGTAAGAAAATGGGAGAAGATATAAAAGAACGCTTAAAAAGAGGACTGACGTCAAGTCCAAAGTATATCCCTCTTTGGTATGCCTACGACGAGACTGGATCGAAACTTCACGATTCAGGTTCTTCCGAGATCCCAGACTACTATATGAATTGGAGCACGATTGATATTTTACGGAACAATGTACAAGTATGTGTTTGGCAAGTCAGTCTATTTACCGGAGAATGTTCTATTTAGTTAGTATTCCAGTTATCATTGCCTAAAATTTAAAACGTTAATAGCTCAAGTATAAAGATTCGTCTAAGCTTTTGTAACAAATTTATGTTGGTCTTTGCCTTGCATTGATTGTATTCGGTTTTTTGTGTTTTATAGATATGTGGTATAATATTGTCGTCTGCTCTTCATTTATTCTGTAATCATAAGCGTATTAATCGAACTATTTATTTTCTTTAAAATGTTTAAAATGTTTTAATTAGGATACACAACTTATTTCTGATTGATTAAACTTTTGCATATACTATTTTTGATGATGAGATGACGTTTCAGTATCAGTTGATTTGTATTAATGATTTTTTGTTGTTAAACATAAATAATGTATTCAACACGCGCTGGTAGCGCATCGAATTTTTCCATCACAATACCAGTACACTGGGAAAAAAAACCCATACGTGAATAGATTCAAAAGTAACACAAATGAATAAACTTTGACCTTATTGCTCAAATCATCTAATGCTACTTGAAGGATATCACAAGGCTGCCTTACAAACCTACCTTGATTGAGATGGGGAGCGGAAACTGTGCTAATTCGAGGCTTATCATTGACGAACTAATGAAAAAACAACAAAACCTTGTGTTTTATCCCGTGGATATTTCTAAAGGTAGGTCCAATTAAATTTCTAAATAATCTTGTGTAATAACAATAATGAATACTTGAATGTCTTCACCCTTATCTTATACCATTTGAGCAAAATGACTATTCATTAGGAACGATATCAACTTATCATAATTTTTTTTTTTAGCGGACACTGGCTTTATATTGAGAACTTGCAAATGATTCAAGAAAAATGAAAAAACGAAATGATATATGAATCACTCAATCAATCAATGATCAATATCATTTATCACTATCCAATCTTGGATCAGGCTCTGAAAATAATTCAAACAGAGACAGTAGATGTTAATAAATTGAATGTGACGAAATTCGCCCTTCCACCGTTATATAAATTATATCAAATAGGTAAAGTCCAGATACGATATATCACCATATCACCTTTGATCTATAGAGGATGGTATGATGGAAATGAACAGATTCGAAAGCAAAGCAGATCAACGGAAAGTTAACTTTCTTAAGGAAGGGAAGATAAAAACAACAACTGTATAATGACATGTTTCAAGATGAATTTGGAAGAAGGAAGGTTATTGAATTAGATTCGCATAATTTCAAATCACTTGATTTGTAGTATATTCGTTGTAATATTAAATTTGTTTCTAGGTACTAATAGACTTAATAATGATATACCTTTCTGTCAGAATTTCTTTTCAAGACAGCAGAGGAATTATCAAGGGAATACAACAATGCACTAGTGGTTAAACCAATAGCTGCAGACTACGAGCGAGGAGTACAGCAACTAAAGTAAGTTTTATGAGGATTGTATTTCCATGCATAAAGTCATAGAGGTGGTAATCTGGTGGCTGGTAAAACTAAAATTTCAGCTTGCTAACATCTTGTTTTCTCAAATTACTGGAACTATAAGTGTAAGACGTACTAAATTCGCCGCAAAGCATATCTCACCATCAAAAAGGACTTCAGAATTTTCTTGTATTGTTACTTCCGTTTCATGCTTTCATATGGTTGATTCATGATTCAGTCTTGTGTGTGTGTGTTTATGTTAGCTAAGTTTGGAAATACGTCACAGTTTTTGTAATTCACTGTCAAATACATTTTCGTGTATGTCTACGGTTGAATATTGAACCTGATATTCTGATGCCATTTTCCAACAACCTCACTTGCCTGCTGAGAGGTAAAATAACTTGTTTTGGAGCGAGAAGCGTACTTCTTTTCAATCAATATACTCAGTTTCTTATGATTCCTTTCTGAAAATTATTACATCTGCATATTTGCGGTTGACAGTATATATTTATTCAATCTATTGTACATCTTTTCGTGAAAGCTTTCATATGATGCATTCATATATTCACACTTTTTAATATTTTACAAGAATAAGATTAGACAAAAAATGACGTAAAGCTCGGCAGAACATTACATTTACTTATCATATTGTGAAAATGTTATCCCTTTTTGCTGTCTTCTGTATTTGTTTCTAAGCACGATGGATATTTCAATGTTATTCCTTTCATCTTAAGAACCCCTGATGGGTCTTTAATGGACGAAATGGCCATATGGTGCATATTAGTCCGATTCTGAAGTATCCTTTTGCTTGCTATAAATATTTTTACCCTCATAGATGGTTTGTGAACAGAATTAAAAAGAGTGATTCATTGCATTGACTTATAATGATATTGAGATCACAGCCGTTGAATTGCCGTTGAAACAAATACTCGCGTGTATATTGTTATCTGCGAATCACATTTTTGCGTCCCCATATATACCCCGAAAACTAGCAAAATATAACATCTGAAAAAGCAATCAGGTTAACGGTTGTCCATGTAATCAGCAACAACAGAACATTTATTGCAATCACGTCTCGAACATTTACAACAAAGTTTGTAAATCACCAAAAATGGTACAACCATTTTTGTTATAAACGCCCTGTGCGATCGTTTACGATAAAATACTCCTATTAGATTATTAATTCACAAAATACTGCGATCAATAAATAAATTGACAAATGAAATAAAACCAAAACTTAAAAACATTAAAGATCACATACATACGTGCTGCTATTGAAACTGTAAAAACCTTTGAATGGTCTTGGTTTTGAATACCTTGTTGTATCCTTGTATGTATGAAATGTTACATGTACTGACTTTCAAATATCTTACAGGCAATTGAAAGGTTCCAAATTGTTACTGTTCTTCAACAGTCTCCAAAATATGCCGTATGATGACCAGGTGAACACCATTAGACTATTTTCCACCTTAATGACAGGTATTATACCATGTTTTTTATGATTTCCTTTCATTTCGAAGTGTTATGTTCGTTACGTAAAACGTCTGTTGCTTTCGTGCAATCTTAGTAAAGAGTGATGGCCTTCTCTATGGTCCTGCGTTTTTTTAATCTCCTTACATAAGAATAGATCATTACTATAGCTGCAACAGTTTTTATGCCTTTCCATAAAAGCATAACTGTAGTCTTGTTGTAAACATGTATTAAAACAGAGAAATGTTGTCATTTTCACTCAGTTGAATGCATCAACATTGCCTCTACTTCTCACTAGCTTTTACTTACTAGCGCATTGCTTGGCAATACCTCATTTTGGGTTATAATTTTGAACGTTTGCCCAGGTGAGGAAAACAATGGTTCTGTCCCAAGGCCGGGATACCACAGGTTTTAAAAACAGGTCGTTATTATTCTCTGCTTAAAATTCAGTATTTTGGATAATGACAACAACTAGCTCGGCCGTTGTCACTATAATGTGACCGGGTCCAGGGTGCCTTCGGCATGGTTTTTAGTGAGATAGCACTATAAAATTGGCACCAGATCTGCGCTCACATAAGGAAGCAATACGTCAACATACCTTGACTCCGGCACACATACACAACACATGCGGAGGCACGTCCAACCAACGTTTCACTGAGACTATAAAGAATTACATTTAATTTAAACCACCCCAAAAACATTTCTCGTAACTATTTGCGTAACATAATATCTACAACTTACGGTAACAACTTCATACACTATGCTTTATGATATGCCGAAGGGTTTGCTTGAATATATGACTTTTTCTACTGTCTGATTGTCAGAAAAATGCTATGATAATCTATCGGGTGTTTTATTTTTTCAGACAAATGCCGACTTGTTTTCAGCGCCGATATCACACAAAACAGAGAATCTGTCTTAAAAGCATACAACGATGACGCCGGTAATTCGCTTTGTGTTTGTATTTAAAAAAATTGTCAGATAAAAAGAAATATAATATCTCATATTTAGTATTTAGTATTGAAGCATTTCATGTTCTAACAAGTTTTATCAAAATACAATGCAATGACCAGGGCTTTGGATAATGTTTATATATGAATGAAAATGTTATAAAAGTTATGCATTCAAAATGTTAAATATGGTTTTATTAAGTGTTGTAACAATACGCCACAAGTCTGTATTACAGTGTGTTTTATTAGTAAGGTCCGACAATAATCTCTAAACAAAAGCAAACAAAAAAGGATAACGAAAGAGTCAACAAAACCGTAATTTGATCTCGAAATCGATAAAACTAGGACGTATTATGGGGGAATTATTTACATAAAGACAATTAAAAAAATAAGATAAAAAATAATAAGACCAAGTGTTTCGGGATAGTAATCGAGTTTTGCTTCATCTACGTCATTCGCCTTGTTCTTTAGGTGAAGTCTAAGTTATGTCAGAGTAATGACAACAAAACAATGTACTCTGATGATTTTCAAAAAAAACATCGAACTTAATGTCACTAATATAATAGCATATTTCCCAATGAGATCATGGTGATGATCATGAGTCTTGTCCATAGTCAATAGATCAACCTGAATCTTTGAATACCCAATGTTGCAAATTTGTCCATAAGCAGTAGACATCTACGGGTGACATGATATCGGGAGCACGCACATGATTACCGAATCAACCACGACATGTAAACACCGTAGGTTTAGAAAGCTGAATGCTCCTAGGAAGAAAGCGAAAGATCACGTTCGGAAAATCGAAATGATCCTGCTTATTACAGTTTAGTAAATAATGAGCATTGAAAACATAACGTTTCTTACAATGGTCAGTTCTGACATTAGTCTCCAAAACAAATCGTTTCATTGGTCAGGCCTGATATCATTCTCTACTGCAGTTTGTTTCATTGTGCAGGTCTGGCAACGAAGTTACATGAGAACATTATAATGCGGCTGAACAGAGACGAAGGTAGTGAGATAGATCTTAGTATGTTCAAGCATGAAGTCGAGTTTATATCGGACACCAGACCGCACAAAACAAGCTACATTTCAGTCACCCTTCTGGCTAAGGAGTCTGTCCATTACCCAATACGTAAGTCGTGACGTTCATTAAGTAGTAGTATATCCCTTTTATACATAGGATTGACCTGACAGGTACTGAAAAATTACTTCCGTGTGTCCAAAAAGTGAAATATTTTACATATATATACAATCCAATGTCTTTAGATTGTGGAATTCATTGTATGAAAACAGTTTTACAGATGTAATATAAGCTATGAGAAAACTGCTAAAGAGTTAAATGGATATTCATTTACACCCATGTCTACTCTGCTCTTTAACAGCTGGACTTGGCATCGGTTTGAAGATGGATAAAGGAGAGCGGATCAGGTTACACGAAGGCGTTGAGGGCAGCTGTAAATACACAATGGAACAGCTACAAAACATTGTGGAGAAAGCTGGACTACGTGTGGAGGAAACCTGGACGGACGAACAGAAACATGCTGCTATATGTCGGTGTAAAATTGCATAAACAATATCGCCTTTTAACGACCTCGACGATTGAACAGGAACACACCTCTGCTGTTTGTTATCGACTATATACGAACTCTGCCTTCAAATACGAAGTACTTAATAAAGATTCAGTTAATCTTCATTCTGGCTTGTCAGTTTCAAAGAAATCATTTTCTACCAAAGAGATTGTGGCGAAGAGGTAGATGTTAGCATGCTAGGTTGTTTTCTACTTTATCCTTGCAAGTTAAGTTTTATTATAGCCACCAGGTTTCAGACGATGCCATACAACGTTCTGTATTTCACACGGCGAAAACAAAATGTTGAATGAATTCAGTCTAAAACATATTGTAAGTTATTTGCGGTTATTAACAAATAATTACAAATGTTAATCAAATAAGAAAACAAAACTTCGTTAGAAGTCAAAATAATGTGACACCATAATCTATTTTCATCGTTGTTTTAACGCCATTGCCAAAACGCTTCTGGCTTTCAAATAGTTCACTAGGCGTGTATTCCTGACAACTGTTAAAAACAAATATCATATAATTATGATTATAATTAGCACTTTTGAATAAGTAGCAAAATAAATATAAAGCACCTAAAATTGTGGCAGCATAACGAATTTTACTGTAAACTGTTTGTTTTTAATTTATTTGTTTTTTAAGAAAGGTAAACATATGTTAAGCTGCGATAAATTTACCATTTCTTTTTGCACTGTTATTCTTTATTTCGAATCTTTTACGGTCAAATACCGAAGTGTAACAAACAATAACTGGAACTCACACTGATAACACTTCTGTTCTCAATTAATAAGTTGTTATTAAAGAGTTCCGATTAAATGTAAGTATCCTACAACTTAGTGTTAATTGTCGGTTTTTTAATTGTGTGTGTGGTACATGCACACGTGTATCAATAACGTTATGTGAAACATATTGGATGGATTAAAATGCCTCATAGTCAGGAACAAATAATTTGCCTATTATTGTTTTGTCGGTAGTCATCCGCCGCTAGTTCACCCGTTGTAAGTATAATGTGACAGGTCGGAATGCTGTGCTGGATGCTTTCGGCATGGTAATTCAGTGAGGTAGCACTATAAAGTCTGCATCAGATCCACGTTAAAACGAGGAGGCATATACACCAACAAACCCTGCCTCTGGCACATTTTCTTTAAAGTGCATACATGTCGCAGTGTTTAAATTTTCGCATGTCATACCTGGAACTTATTCGCGGGGTCTTAAATTTGCGTTTAATTGTGTTGAAAAACAAAATTTCGGAATAAAATATAGAAAACAAAAACATATAAAATTAAAGTTAAAGTTAGCTTCCAATACAGGAGTCGATAGAGCTCCTCTACATTGGACAGAAAAAAACTATTCTGTTCTTTAAAGTATTGATATTTGGAGCGGATAAAACATACTCCGGAGGATTGTTGCAAGTTTTGACTATACAAAATGTGAAAAACTTTCTCCTCAGGGATGTTGTTGACTGATATGGGAATATATTTTTCGAGTTTACTTTTGTACTATTTCTGACTGATTCCTCACTCCAAAGCTCCAAATTCTGTTTACAATCGTGTACATTTCGATCATATCCGCTCGATGTCTTCTGTATGCTAGTGTTGGTAGGATCAATTTTCGTAATCTTTCTAGATAATTGATGCCCTTCAGCCCCGAAAGATATTTCGTCATACGCTCTCCAGTTTGTCTACATATTTGAATTTGTACGGTGACCATACTGCTCTTCTGCGTATTCCAACTTTTTCCTCACAAGAATTCGAAGAGTGGCACGAATTTAGTGTAGTCTAAAAATTAGAATGATCTCCTAATAATGGCAAGCATCGAGTTTGCCTTTTTAACCCTTTCGCTTATGTGATCTTCAAAGCTTAATGATTTGTCAATGACAAATCCAATGTCATTTTCTTAACCGATGTTTCCAGAAATACCCTTGCATGTTGTATGATATCTTTGATTCCTTGGTTCGTCGAATATGCAGATATTTTTATTTTCTTCGATGCATCTTAATAACACTGTAGCCATTCAGAACTCCATTTTCTTATTACATCCAAATTCTTCTGTAGCGAGTCATTATCCAAGGTTTGGTGATTATCTTCAAGATTGTTTTTCTTCAATGTCCTTCAAAGTTTTTAAATATGACCAAGTATCATCTCAACTTTAAGAGTTTGGTAAAAGTTCATTCCAAACTAGTTCTTGAATGTTCTTATTTACCTCATCAAAGTTCCCCTTCTTGTTACAGTTTTTATCACGTTTCTAAATTCATCACTGGTGCTGCATTCTTTCTCAAATAGAAACACGTGTGATCACTTTCCCTAACGGGCTTTGATATTCAATATTTGATGCAAGACTTTCGTCGTTTGTGAAGATACGATCCAAAACATCCTGTGTATATTTACGTGTTGATATAGATAGTTGTCTTGAATGTTTTGTACTCATTTATAGTCCTGTGTTTCAGTCTCCTTTGGTTTATATCTGTGAAATTGAAATCTATGATAACTAAACTCTTGTAAACTTCCGAAGTTGGTAGTTGTTTTCCGTACTGCCGCTATCAGATCTGTAGATAAGCCCTTCTAAATGTGCGTTTTGTTCTTGCAGTCATATTTCTACAAATATATTTTCTAGAAAGACATTCCATTTCCATTTCGTCCCTGCAGGTAGGGGGTAAAAATTGTACCCGATGCCCCCATCGTTTGATCGTAAGAGGCGACTAAATTTGGGATCTAATCTTTTCTCTTCATTCTAAATAACTTTCTTCTTCCTAATGTCTCCCTTGACAATGCCTCACTTTTGGCCTTCAGTTGAGCGTTTTGTCCCATGGCTGAATGCTTAGCAATTTAGGAGTGGAAAGACTTGTTCGAACGTTATCAGTATAATGTGACCGGGTTGGGTGTCCTGCTGGGTATCTTCGGCAGTATGTTTCAGTGAGGTAGCACTATAAAGTCGGCATCAGTTCCGCGCTATCACAAGGAGACAAACACGAACATATCACAGCCTCCCAAAACACACACGCATACACTACACGCATGCATCTTGCGCCCGGGAAGGCCGTCCATAAATGACCATAGCTGTTGATAGGACGTTAAACAATACTAAACTAGACAAAACCAAGCCATTAGAAATAAAGATGAGGAGATTTGTATAAATGTTGTTTCACAAACCACGTTTAAACATGTATTTAAACTGAAATTAAATTCATCTATGAACAAAACGAGAACCATAGGCTTAAAGGTCACCGGAGTTAAATAAACTTATTATTGTGATTAAACAAAAAAATAATAAGTTCATTACCAAATATGTATGTTTGACTGTGGATCTTCAAAATTAAGTTGGGAGTGACCGGCATTAATATATAGCTAGTACATGTAATTATCAGTAAAAATATTATCTGAGTGACTCAGGGGACCAATAATTATAGAAATATATCTTACCAAGTATTCAATTGTGATTTGAGTTTCCCTTTCAAAGTCGACACACTTAATTGAGAAGGTCTTAGTGTTAAGGATTTTATTGGATAGAAACCCGGGGAAGACAGGTGACCCGGTGTTATGATATTCAAAACTTTAAAAACGCATTTTAGGACTTTCAAATTTGGCTGTATATGGATTATCTGTTCATTGAAGCAAATGTATTTTCGAAGAAATGATGATGATGATGATTTGATGATGATGATGATGGTGATGATTTGGGTGAGTCGGTGGATGAGTGATGAGGTAGTACGCACTGTAGTGATCAATTTCGGATAATAATGTAATAATGATGATGATAGTGAGGGTTGGTGGTTGAGCGGTGAGGTAGTTGGTACTGTCGTGATGATGCTGATGATGATGATGATGATGGTTGGTCCGTGAGAGTGGGTGGATGGATTTTGAGATAGTAGCTACTGTCGTTATACATTTTTAAAGTTGTGCATGTATTTGAACGCATTTTAACTAATCTGTAAAATATTTTATGTAATGATAGTGTAACACCTTGAAGCTACATAACATATCATTTATGCATCTTCTGACTACATGTAAAACATTTGATCACTAAATTTTACATATATACTTGTATGATAATCTGGAGGATAATCCTTGAAATAAAAAATACAAAAAAAATCCAGCGCCTATTACCATAACTGAACATTCATAAGCTAACCATATGTATCGCTTGATTTTGTTTAACGTTCTATTAACAGCCACGGTCAGCATTCATACGGACGACGTGTGTAAGTTATAATTTAGACCATAACGTATTTTCAACATTAAAATCGAAATTTATTTCCTCACGTATTTATTAGTAATCTCATCAATTGACAAATGCATGACCTGTATACCGGGAACCTGTCGCCGCAGTTTAACTTTCGACCCTTTCGCCTTCCGATTTTAGGGCGAATTTAACAGGACGGCAAAAGTTTAAAAAGAAAATAAGTATACGACGGAATATGTTTTGTCACTATTTCCTTTACATTGAGGCTTAACTCAGGTACCGTATGTGATGCAATTGGTGTCCCGTGTATCCGGCGGTGTAGGGCGAATTTACCACTGGGCGAATAAGGACTCTGCCGGTGAAGGGCGAAAGTTTCCCGGTATACTGTATACAAATAGAATAGAATTAATTGAAAAAAAAAGTATATATGATTTGGCGAATATAGCACATCAGGTTATTTCAGAGGCAATATTTTTGGGAATTTTCGAGTGACTGACTGAATAACTTAACAGCCAATCAACATAGAATGGTCATACGACCAATGTATGGTACATGGAACATGTTAAAGGAAATTATATCAAACGAACTAAAAGTAAAAGACAACAATCAACTTGCAATCAACCCCCGCATATACGCTATAAACACTCTAACATACCTTTTATGTAAATATATGAGAAATAATTGAAACAGTTTATACAGCGACGAAGGGTCTCATAGACTCTCCAACATCTACCACATCTATGACCAATCTGATCTGATGAAGTTACAAGGTGTTATGACCAATCTGATCTGATGAAGTTACAAGGTGTTAACCGTACTACAAGGACCCCCCCCCCCANTTATTCCTTGTCTTCTATTAAAAAACATTGAAGAAATCAAGAATAAACTGTTGTATTCCACTTCATGTGTATCGTACAAGACGACTTATCATTAGTCCTCTGTAGAATATGAGGGTTTCTTCCGTGTTTACTACGAAGAGGGAACGGAAGACACAAAAGTTGATCTGTTGCCCCCATTGCAACTCTTGGTTCAAGTATATTGGAATAGGGGACAAGAGTTGGGGTATTTACTTTAGGTATGTCTAACAGATAAAATAACAAAAAAATAAGATAAAGGTAAAAACATATTTATAATTCTAACAAAGGGCATTCACGGTAATATTTGTTGTCATTGTAACTGTAATGGAACTTTTTTTAATTAACTATCCTTATATTTCTGTGGTAACAGTAAAATGGCACACAGCCTGAAAGAAATGTTAGTGACAGGGTTGACGTCTAGTCCTAAATACATTCCCCACTGGTATATCTACGACGATGTTGGGTCGATGATCCAGTACAAAACTGTCACAGAACCTCCGGACTACTATTTAACCAGGAGTGAGAGGTCACTTCTGGAGCAGAATGTACAGGTATGTGATTTATAAATTTATTGCCTTCCACACATTTCTGGAACATTTGATATCTACAGGATTTCATTAAACATTTCAGAAACATTTAACAACAATAGAAAATGTCCTTTCCAGTATCTGTCTGTATTCAAACGAAACAAAACAAATATATTAACCTTCGGGACACCATAAGAAAATGATAAACACAAAATGTATATTGAAGAATCAGAGTAAAAAAGGGAACTTTTTCAGCTCTGCGTTTCCGAAACCACGTTTTGCACGCGTCCACATGTTTCATTCACACAACGATCTAAAACAGAGTTGTGATATATATATATGATGTACAAAGCATGGGGAAACGCTTTGAACAGGTCCCGTGACTACTTGTACTTAGTACATACAGAAAATACGCCTCTATAATAGAATAGAATATAGCGTTAACACTATGCGCGCTATATATTATTTTTACCAATTGTAACCGTTTGATTTCTTTTGATGTGTGTTAAGTCTATTAAGTTCTCTCTTTTTACGCTTTAAACCCAAAGTTACTTTCTCGTTTCAATTGGCGGTTAAGTCTGAAATAAAAAGAACTATACTGCTGGTACACATATGGTACTTTTAGAGGAATTCATGCTTTTTACTAAAAAAAAAAAAAAGAACGATAGAATAGATGGAAACTTTTCATTGTAAAGATGTAGTAAAATCGGACCAAGTTTTGATTGTTTAGTAAACAAGTTTACATATATTTCATAACTCTTCTTTAATATCTGATTTTAACATTTGCATATTGATATGGTATTTGTTTATGTACCGATCTATGCAACATTGCTTTCCTAGAACGTCATACAAGAGACATATAAACAGAAAGTGTGTTTCGTCTTTGTATCTTTACCCTTTTTTCAGACAATATTGACAGATTCTCTCCTCTCTTTTATTATAAGTTCTCTCCCTTTCTCTATAAGATGGTCATGACTGCATAGACGTATTCTACTAAAACCATCCCGCCATTGAAAACTTGTCTGTTTGGCGTAACCCGACCGAAGACCTTAGGTCTACTTAAGTAGTTAGGACAAAACAGTTTGTATATCTGACAAAGGAAATACAATAACTTTATCAAATTTTATCAACAGTCTTGAGCAAAGCGTCCATTATATTTCTCCACCATGACACAGTCACATCAGCATTTTAAATAAAACAGCCACAAAAAATGGGGGTCCGTGTGTTTTTTTGTCCAATTACTATTTGTGTTTATTTTTTCACATTTCTTGGGTGAAAAATCGAAAATAAATATGAAAATATAAATACCAGTCAGGTATATTATCCAACTTTGTTGCATTTTTTTTTTCATAATATTGAACATGATAAAGTCATTCATCAAACAATTGCTTCAATACAAAATGGCTCCCAATGACGATTTAAGTGATCAATCTAGTGTCAAAAAGGTGAAATGTTGGCCTTTCCCAAAGCGCAAGAAATACACATTCAAAACGCCAGCCAAATTGGTCATTTATTTTTTAAATGTTTGTAAAAAAAAGTTCTACAAATAACAGTTATCTAGTATTTTGACACATTTTTAAAATGCATGTTTGCTATCAAAAGTTCTCGCATTACTTTTTAAGTATTACAAAAGTCTGTTACACGAGATTAAAACGAGATTTGAACGTGATTGAAACCTCAGAAGAGTACATACTTAAGCACCAGTGGTTGTGATAAGTAGAAAAATTGACTTTTCGTTATATTCATACATACACAGTTATGTTTTCTAAATCAAATATAGTAAGTAATTGTTGTTGATATATTATTGCATTGTTTTGAAGGATATTATTCCATGGAATAAATACGATCTGACCTTGGTTGACCTCGGAAGCGGAAATTGTTCTAAAACGAGACTTGTAATAGACGAACTGCTGAAAAGACAGAAAACACTAACGTTTTATCCAGTGGACATTTCTAAAGGTATGTTGAAAAGGGAAATTTATGATTCCTGGATACGATTGTGATGAATAATATTTTGATACGTATGTTTCATATGTTTTCCTTCATACTATCTTTAAGAGTTTTTGATGAGGGCAGTAAAGTCCTTGTCAGGGGAATACGGCGACTCACTCGTACTTCAACCCATAGCTGCTGACTACGCACAGGGAATACAGCAATTGAAGTAAGTTCTGAAACATTTTTAACGATTTAGCATATATACGGTTAATGTCCAAATTTAATTATGTAAAGAATCTATACAGTATAAATTATTGAGAGAACCATGACCGTGTATGTTTCAATATTTTTAGCTCACCTACCCGAAGGGCAAGTGAGCTTATGCCGTGGTGCGGCGTCCGTCGTCCGTCTGACGTCAACTTTTTACTTTAAACAACTTCTCAGTAATCAAAAGGCATAAGGTGGTGATATTTGCCGAGTAACATGCTGGGGTGAAGGGCTGCCAAGTTTGTTAAAATAAATGACCTTCACCTATTTTCAAGGTCACAGGGGGCAATCATCTGTGTGCAGTAGGTCTATTAGGTATATATACACAACTTATAAATAACCTAGTGGTGAAGGGTGATGATATTTGGCCAGAAGCATGCTGGGATGGAAGGCTATCAAGTCTGTTCAACTGAACTCTTTCCGTATGTCATCCTGGTCCCCGTTGTCGTGTACAGAAGACACACTAATAGGCCGTCTCATCCTCGTTGTCGTGTACACACGACAACAGACTTTGGTGTAACTTGTGTTATGTTTAGCTGGATATCGCACACGACAATCGCGTAATACAATTAGTTGTCGCTAAAATCAGCACCCATCAGTTGGGAAGAAATAGTTTTATAGGTGCAGAGCACACAATTTATATTGTGTGACCTATTGTTTTCGAATTTGCCGCATGTTTGCGTTTGGTGATTCAAATATAAACAATATGGCGGCAACTAAATTCGATATGAACACTCATAAATTCATCACTAAATATTTAGACTTATGGAAGTAAATATGAATATTTTAATATGAGTCTTAATGAGATCTACTAGTAATTAGAAAAACAAACTAACGACTTCGTATTCGTAAACAATAATCAATCCCTGTTTGGTGCCGACCAGATGTCGATTTCTCAGTTATAATTAGCTGCCAGTTAGTCATCACGGTTACCTGTTTAATTCCTGCAGCAATTGCACCTCGTCTTTAATGAACATTGATAATCTGCCATTTTGTTATTTGCGCGGGGGCGAGCCTAGTAAGGACATCCGGTTCGGAATCCGGACCGGATTTGCGGTACGGAAAGGGTTAATGATCTTGTTCGACTTTCGAGGTCACAGGGGTCATATGTTTGAGTCTTTGAATACATTCTTTTGAATCAAACAAAGATATATTGCCTCTAGCTATATTTAAGTCCACTTTTAAGATTACAAGTGTGAGATGTATTAAAAGAACATAAATTCTTGTTCCGCAAACTTCAGTTTTCCTGCCATCATCTGGTTATATATTTCAGTTGAAGAAAAGATTCTTCCTGTGTTTATGGTTATTTGTTGAACGTTATGTAAATAAAATTTCAACTTTATAGATACGTAAATTGAACATAAATGATATGTGATGAAACACTTCGTTTGATTGGGACGCTTGTCTTTTATAAATATCAATCTGTGGGATACATTTCTAGCTACTCTTCAACCGCCCAACTAGAGCAGGCATCAGGTCAGACAGGAGGCTAATTTCCATATGGGTAGGATTTTTCTTTCATGTCAATTATACATATATATGTATATGTTGTTATATGTCTAATCTGTTACAGAGGTAAAGAAGGGGTTAAGGTCATTCTGTGGTTAAGTGCCATTCTCAATCTACCGTACGATGACCAGGTGAATACTCTTAGGCTGATATCTACCATATTGACAGGTACATCTTTAAATTTAACTTAAAAAATCCATGTCGACTGACAAGCAATTGAGTTTATGTGTTTGATTATTTTTATCACATACAAACTAACTGACCCATTATACTATGTCATACGGCCATGTCGTAAATGTGGAAATACACACGTATCAAATGAATTTTTAAATGTTAACTTTGTCATTATTATTTTCAGTGCATTTCAAATAATTGTTATCAAAAAATGATCTGAAATTACTTTGTATGTGCGGAACGACAATACTATGATTGGAGTGCTTTGGTTTAGACCTATATAGAGTCAGCTGAAAACACATTTTGTATTTGAGTTTTTGTTTTCAAATAATGAATTTCATATGCTAACTAGAATCTTACATTCGTGTCGATGTCATATTGCATTTATCAAACTCGTTCAATAATATGTTATTATACTCGCCTTAAGTTTCGTGTCATATCAAATTATTAAACTCAAATTCAATATGACATGGCTACATTTTGCATGAGGAAGACCAACCCTGCTGTCATGCATGTGATCAGCCATTTACAGTCAAACACTTTATGATTGAATGCGGTGATTTCAAACAAATATGCGACAGATTTTATAATGTAGCCTCTATGAAACGTTTATTCGATACAGTTTCTACGCAATCAATATATGAGTATATACATTCAATCAATCTCTATAATAGGATATGATATATTCTATAAACAATTTGTTTGTTATTGATATATTTTGACATCTTTACACATTTAAACCTTTTGTTTCTTGTTTTTATGTATTACGTTTTTTGTGAATGTCTATTCTTACACTTGTTTGGCCCTAAATGACTCAAATTGGCGATGGACCGTAAACAGTACAAAACAAACAAACAAACAATATGACATAGACACTCATGTAAGATCCTCTATATCTGTATATTTTTTGTCTTCAGAGTATTCAGTATTACCCCTAACATGGCAGACTTTGAGAGCATATATAGTTTTCTCTTTCAAGCACGGTTTATCATTTAGTAAAATAATGTTCACCTGAGACAAAAAAAACTGCTTGAATTTGAACTTTAATACAGCAAATCGAGAACAACAGATGTGAAAAACCGTGGTTTGTTTGCATGTATATCACAATACTAACGATTTAGTCCACAGTAAAAATATCTTCGATTATGATAATGGAATATGATATTAATTGAAGAATGTGTTTCAATTCTAAATTTCTTTTGATTCCGAATTGTCGTAATCAAACAAGATAAGTCTTATATCAAGTGCATTCTGCAATTCTAAGTTAAGTAATTTGGTATTGTGAACTTACTATTTCCCTTTGCAAAACACTTTATTCAGAAAAGTCCAGATACCTTTGAATATATTAATGTTTTTTCAGACAAATGTAGACTCATATTCAGTGCTGACGTCACACAAGACAGGGAGACTATCATTAAGGCCTACAATGATGATGCAGGTAACTTATTGTAATATTACCTAAATGAATATCGGATATTTCAAGTAAATACCAACACAGCATAAACTAATTTTGATCAATAGCGATCATCGAATGTTTGGTTTTGTTTAATCAGTTTTTTAACGTTTCACGTCATATTAACAGCTCAGGTCATTTAATGACGTGCCGTAATCTATTTGTGTTCACGGAAGCTTGGTATAGTTTCGAATAATGCATAAGCTACCAATATTTCGATGTTTACTTCGAACGTTTTTACGCTGCTTAATATCAAATATGTAATGAAATTACTTCAGTTTTTAATACCCGTAACTTTGCGTAACATAATGACAAACAAATTCGTGGAATTTATATCTCCCGCTTGCATGACATATTGTAGGTAAACATTATTGAGGCAAGGTTTTAACATGTGAGTATCGTGCTGTTGAAACATAATGTATAGCTTGAAACTCGAAGAAAAAAAAGCTTTATTCATAAGCTAGACTTTTTATTGAACATGTAGGTATTACGCTGTTAATGTATCGTTTAATCTATCAGAATTTACTAACCTCGTTAATTATCCGCAAATATGCACAAATCACATCGATTGGCAAACTGAGCATGAGTCGGATGTGCATACGGAATTTGGTTGAAATAGCTACAGCAATTATCACACGAGAACCAACGAGTGCCCAAGATGGATGGAAGACGGAGGAACACAATCATTGTTATCAAGTTTGAAGGAATTAAGCTAATATTTGCTAGCGTTATTAAGCGGAAACTGCAGATAATGACGTTTTTCGTTAACCAAGGGGCCATAACTCCGCCAAATGAAGTCCGATTAAAGTGGTTGTCAAATTTGGTCGAGCCCTAAAGGCATTTAAACCTGGTACCAAGTGTGAAGAAAATCGGTTATCATTTGTTGCAGTATTGCACGGAAACGGCAGTTAATGACGTTTTACGTTATTCAAGTGGCCATAACTCCGCTAAATAAAGTCCCCTGAAAGTGGTCATCGAACTTGGCCGAGCCCTTAAGGCATTTAACCCTGTTACTAAGTTTGAAGGAAATCAGTTAACATTTGTTGCAGTTATTGCATGGAAACGAAGCGTGACAGACAGACAGACAGACAGACAGACGGACAAACCCAAATTAATATCCCATGTATCGGTAAAAGCGGGGGATACAAAAATACATAACAATAATTTACGTTGCATTGCGGAATATTTTGGCAGAATATTTCAGTTTTGATTTCAGGTCTTTATTTTACTTTGAATGTATAAAATATACATTTAAGGGCTTAGTCTCGCTGTAACGAAGTTCATGAGATGATGAATGGAGTCCCTAGACAAACTCAACTACTGTTGACAGATAATCAGCATTGATATATGCAAGTGTGTATGCTTTAATCTTCAGGGTTAATACGAGCTTTCAATCAACATGCAATTGAACGGTTAAATAAAGAGGAAAGAAGTGATATCGACCTTACCAAGTTCACGTATGAGCTAGATTTCATATCTGACAACGATCCCCAGTACATGAGTTACACCAGGGTCTACATAGAGGCCAAAGAAGCCATCCGGTACCCGATACGTAAGTTGTAATTGTTGTGATGGGGAACGTAACAGAGGCTTAGCGCGTGTTAACCCTATCGTAACGCCGGTTCTTATGTGTATACTATCTCAGAATAACAGGAACCATGGTAGGGCAAACTTACGTGCCAGTGACAAAAGGACACAAATAAACTGAAGGAAATAGTTTATCTATTTAACAAAAGAAGAAAAATAACACTAGAAAATGTTATCAAGGGACTGTTACGGAAATCTATAAAAGAGCCAACATAACCATAACTCGACCTCAAAAACGATAAAACTAGGGCAAATTGAAACAAAGGAAATGTTTACAAAGATACCTTTGAATAAGTGCAAGGAGAACAAAACCAGTTGTTCCGAAAGGGTAAGCGGCTTCTGCTTCATCGAAGACGCCCGCCATGTCAATCTAAATCGAATCCAAGTAATGTCACGTCCTCGCACACAAACGCGGGAAGTGACGACAAAACCACAAGGCACTCTGACCATCATATTCAAAAATATCGATTTTCATATCACACAACGAAATAGCATATTTCCTGCGAGGTTCCTTGAGGCGACTATACACTTTTCCATAGTCTTCATGTACGGCAGAACCAGTACAGTGACAAATTTTACTATTTAAATATCTTATATAAAGGGTTTAAGTATATAAGCATTGTAAAGACGTGTCGTTGAACTTCATGTTATAACAAAAAAATATTCTTATTTTACAGCTGGACTTGGCATTCACCTGCAGATGGATAAGGGAGAGCGACTTTACTTTCACAAAGGCGATGGATTCAGCTGTAAATACACAATGGAGCAGCTACGAAACACTGTCGAGAAAGCTGGACTCCGCCTGGGGGGTACTTGGATAGATGAAAAGCAGCACGTCGTTTTCTGTCAGGTTGTGAAGGTATAAAGGACTAACAAAAACATAAGGATGTCTGACGCTCACTACATTTGCGGTATCCCAACGATACACGATGTTCGGTGTGCGCACGGTGTGTGCACGATGTGCGAACGAAGGAAATCTGGACGATTTTGACTTGTGCATATTTGTACGGACGATGGACGAACGTTGTGCGATGACAACCGTGGTTGATGTAAATTAAGAAATGGTTTAACAATATATACGGTTTCTTGTTTGAATATATTAACTTGATTTTATTAAGTATGATACGCTATTCTGGCTACATATATAAGCTGATCTTTCTATCTATTTTTCGTAAATGTAACAATGGTGTTTTGTGATTTTTAAACGACTCAAATCGACACATGTAAGATCAGACACATCTGTACACGGTCTCATAAACAGGTAAACATAACGACTTTGTACCTGTACAAGGACCGTAGTTGGTCCCACCCGGGGTACTTGCGTAACTCGCCTACATGTGAAAAACCAAATGAAGAGATCAAACGAATGCAAATAACAAATACTTAACCCTCCAGTTTTGTTTTTCATAATTGTCATATGGTATCACATATCAGCTTTCTTTGTCAGGCACAGGCCAGGTAAAACTCCGGTCACTCATCAGATAGTTATTTACCTGTTCTGTTCCCTGAGAGCAAACCCCATTCGTGACAGTCCAACGGTCACTGTAATACTGTGTAACACGCATTGTAAAATTGAACATAATCCTTATTGATATGATGAGAAACATATAAACAGTGTTCCTTATTCCGTTCGAGGTTTAAGCAATTTTTCATAATATTGATCAACCGTTTGTATGAAATCACACAGTTGTGCGCACCGTGTTGACAGTGTGTGCACGATTTCTGCACGATGTATGGATGCTATTTTTAGTACTGTAGTTGGGCTATCATATATACTAGTAATTATTTAGCAGAGATATATTATACAGCGGCAATTATTCATATGATAAAGAGTATATATCATATATAGCGTTAATTTATTATACCGCGGGTTAATTCCTACAGGATCTGAAAATTTAAGTTCATAACCAGGATCCATCATGGACTACTTGTACCAAAATGGGGAAGCAAAAAGATCTGTGTTTCCGTAAAATAGCAAACAATGGCGGCTACGTTTTGGAACATTCGACTGTGTCACTGCAAGAATAGTGTGTCAATGCCTGTATACATCGGCCATATTAAATTGGGGGAAATGTTTTTCACTCTGTTTCCGAAGTATAATAATATATCGATGTGATTCACTGGTTCAGTATTAGTTTAGGTAGTTGTTATAACCTGCTTAAGGCTCAGCATTGATGGTAATGGCAACAGCTGGTTCACCCGTCATCAGTATAGCGACCAAGCGGAATGCTGTGTTGGGTACAATTGGAATGGTATTTCAGTGAGAAAGCACTATAATGTCGACATCAGACCCGTGCTTTGACAATGACGCAGTTACTTCAACATACCCTGTCTCAAACACACATACACACACGCACGCATACACAACACACATGGAGGCACGTCCTTAAATGACCTTAGTTGTCGACGTTTAACAAAATAAAACAAACCATGTACTGGCCGTAGGTCAGTATTTTTTTCTGTGGGAACTCCGGCCTCACTCCACCACCAAAACCTGACACGTCCTTAAATGATCATAGCTGTTAATAGGACGCAAAACACAAACAAACCAAACCGACAGTTTCTCGTTCGTAAAGTAATAAAACAGTTTGTGGGATGTAAATATTAAAATGAACCTTAGATTTGACATCGTATACTGTATCACTTACGTAGTTGACAACAAATATTTTTGTTGTTTTATGGAACATTGATCCTTAAATAGTGTATTCAGCTGACAAACTGTATATAACTGTGATATATTACGGAGTATTTACATTTTTACTTCAGATGAAATCAATAAACCTATCAATCTCTATTCAGAGTTGTCGTTCCTTACACTTACCAACACCTCTGTCAGCATTATAATTAGTCTCTGATCATGTATATATATCTTCTGTCTCATGTGACACTGGATGCGCGTGGATGATGAACGCCACACAAACATCTTCTTAAATTTAGTTTTATTTTTATTTTGTATCCGCGCGAGCTTTCCTTGTTAAAGAAGAAGGACGGCGATGTTTTAGAAGCCAGTTCAGCATGATTCTGTTGTATTATGATTTAAAAATGGTATTTTCTCCGACAACTGCGTATGTAAAACTGGAATATTTATGCTAGTTGAATATCTGATGGATTAAAATCAGCCGTACATTAGAACAACCATCTTATAACTTTGTCTTAATGGGTTTTTTTATTTCATGTATGATGTTTTCTATTGATTTTGAATCTTAATTTACTTTGTAGTTGACAGTGTTGTTTATTATTGGCTTTGAGATAGTATCTGAGTCGATATCAACTTTATTGATATTCATAAAAATTAATATATTATAATGTAAATGAAAGTAATACATGTACAACAGCTGTTTTCATTACATGTCATTGTACTTTGGAACACAGAGAATAGAAATGGTTAATTAAAACGCATTTACATGAGAGATTATGGTTGGATATTTCTATATTATACTTAAGTTCTATGTGTTGTGTCTATTTATCGACATATATAAACATGTGATTTGCTCGTCCTGTAGAATTCGAAAAATAACAGTGCTGATTCAATATGTAAGTCTCGAGGTGTTCTAAGTATACTGCTGTCGCATTTGAAAGAAACTAATAGACCCGTCCGGTTTCGAAAACGTAAGTAACCTTTTAATTATATGTACTGATATTTGATCTAAAAGAAAGGAAAAAACCTGGTCTAATTTTGCATTGCTTCAATATATACAATTGAATGCCTGGGGCTGATAAGGCAATTCGGTTAGAATTTGCCCTCGATTGTTAGATTTAGTATTCCAATGTTTCATATGAGAAAGGCTTATTCGTCTATTCAGTGTAATATGCGTAGGTTAAATACTAACTCTGCAACTGAGGTGGGTTACTTGTAGCTAGCGGAGCTTTTTAGTGACAAATACGTACGTAGTTCTCAGTACAATAACGTAGATGTCAAATCCGATACACTCACGGGTTTGCACTATATGAAAAAAAATGATGTTGTATAATGTAAAGAAGATCTTTAATTGGTGAAAGTGCACTCCTACACAATATAAACAAAAAATATGCAGAAAACACTACAATATCAAAAGTAGAACCTTCCAAATAGATACTTTTCGAAAATGCTTTTAAGAACGTGCTGCCATTTTTTTTTAAATTATTTAATGATTGATTTTAATACAACTATCCGACCAAGAGGTGTTAAAATTCTGCGTGACCACTGGTTTATACTTTTATTAACATTCTTAAGAACTGTGGTAGATTAACTGAAAAATAAACCCTAGCATATTACATTTTGTTTCTCCCCATTTCAGTTTCCATCTATGATGGTAAACGTCTGTACTGAATTTCTTGCTGCCAATCCAAATCACCTTGGTTTTATCATTATTTACTTTTAGTTCCGATATTTTACCAAAGCAATCTAAAACATTCAGTGCTTCGTTGAATGAGTTTCTAGATCCATCTAAAATTATTGAGGTATCATCTGCAAACTGTGAGAGCTTATGATCTTTCTGTTGGATTGTAATGCCCTTGATATTTTTTATTGTTTTTTATAAGACTAGCCAATATTTCAACTACAAGTAAAAATAGATATGGGGTAACAGGATCCCCTTGTCGACAACCCCTTTGTTTATCAAAAGAAATTGACAGTATACAATTTTGGTCTATTGCAGAGTATGTATTTTTGTATAATGTTTTTATCCATTTTTTAATGCTTTCACCAAAATTAAAAAAATTAAACTACTTTGTATAAAAAAATGAAAAAATAAATCAAAGGCTTTTTCGAAATCTATAAATATTAAAAGTCCTGGTATGTTGTTTATTTCAGTAAAATTCATAATGTCGTAAATAAGTCTGGTGTTTTCCCCAATTTATCTTCCACTTTAAAAACCAGTTTGTGTGTCTGAAATAATAAAATCAAGAACAGTTTTTAGTGTGTTGGCTATACAAGCTGAAGCAAGTTTTTATATAACATTTAATAAAGTAATCGGCCTCCAATTTTTAATAAAATATCTAACTTTATCTCCTTAGGGAATACAGTTGATAATACCCTGTTTTTGTGTAATGGATAGCTCCCTCTTATTATAACCAAAATTCAATGCTCTGATTATAACATATTTTAAATTATTCAAAAAAAAAAAGAATTCACTAGTAAAACCATCAGAACCGGGTGATTTACAGTTTTTCATATTTTTTAATGGAAAGAGTAATTCTGTTTAAGATAATTCGCCTTCTAAATTTACACGTTAATTGTCTGTTAATTTTACATATTCTAAACCATCTTAAAGACTGTTAAATTAACATCTTCAATATTATCTGAATGGTCAGCATATAATTGTTTGAAAAAGTTTTACAAACAATTATATGAAATATACAATTTCATCTTGACTAGTTATGATTTCCCCATTTTCATTTTCAACTTTAACAATATTTCTATTAACATAATTGTGTGTTTCCAAGTTGCAAAAATCTTTTGATGGTTTTTTGCCCCTTCTTCCAGCCAAGTTACTTTTGAGCTTACCATATGCCCTTTCATTTTTATTTTTCTTATATTCTCTAGCTCGTTTATTTTCTGTTCGTATTCATCTAAATTAGTAGCCCATGTATTATTTTCTTCTAATATTCCTAGATCAGATATTAGTACTTTTTCCCTTTTGTCCTGTTCTTTTTTTATAAATGATGAATACGATATAGTTGTTCCCCGGATTTCCATTAATAATGTTTCTAAAAAAAGTTGTGCATCTATACATAATATAAGTTCTTCATCAGTTATATTAGAAATATCATTATCGTAAATTGGTGATGAATATTGCTGTTTGATCTTATATATGGTATTTTTAATATTTTGCACATATTTTTGATCATATAAAAGACTGTTATTAAATTTCCATAGGCCCCTCC